CCATAGTCGCCAGTATGAAGCTGGTTTCTTTCGATTTTGAGGTTGAATTCTTTCACTTTCGAACCGAATTTTCAACGTCGAGTCCTGAATCAGCAAATTCAGTGCCTAATTCAACTAATTTCATCAAACTCGAATCGAAGCCAACGATTTCAAGCTTCGATTACAAGAAACCTCAAATGATCTTCTTTTCTTCTTGAGCAATGACAAAAAATAAAAGAATAAGACGGTAAAAAAACCTTCAAATTTGGTCGTAAAAATGCTCTGAGAACTCTGAGTTTGGCAAGAAAATTACTCTGGCGGCCTTTCTTTTGTTAGGCAAATCTGGAATGAAAAATACAGCAAAAGGGAAAATAAAAAAAAAGAGTGTAATTGAATTCCTTAATTTAAGGCGCTAATCCGTGAATTGAAGGTGCTTAACTGAATCCCTTAATGGAATGTATATAAATCGTAAAGAATATATATAGTTACCTTTGGTAAATAAACTTTAGAAAATCTGGTTACTTAAGTTTGATATACAGTATATAGAGAAGGGGACGTCCATACTCGGCCCAAGTAAATAATTATGTTTGCTAAGTTACAAATCCACTTGCAATCAAAAAGCTAAAGATGTGTAGAAGGTTAGAAAAAGATCATGCTTAATGTTTATCTTAGAGACGGCCAAGGGGATGACACAGTTGTTGATTCATAAAAATAACAACATTAAGATTTTAGCTTAGGATATTCAGTACAATATTCAATGTGAGTCCATCTGCTACAACTTTGTAGATTTATACAACATTTTTGTGGTTGTACACTCTCACAAGCTGCCTGGACCATTAATTAACTTAAATTGTTGTTCGTAAGTTATTAAGAAACTAGACTAAGCCCATCCGAAACACTTAAAACAACATAATTTAAAGAGAGAATTCTACAACTTTTTGTATAGTTGATTTTTACCATGCTGAATCCAAAAATTTAATTCGAATGGCTTGAGCTCAAGAAAGCTTGGATTATGTATATCCAGAGTGGTTGATAGAAGAATGAAGAGTGAGTTATTGAGGAACAGTAACGTAACAGCCAAGAATAATGATCACAAATTAATATCTATTGGGTCTATTCCATGTGCATATTTGCTGCCTTTGCAATAGGGACAGACCATAAATAAAACAATAAAACTCGTCAATTTTGTTTCAGTCTCCATCACTAAACAGTTGTTATTAAACACCCATGAGAGTAAGCAACAAACTTCAGATCACTTTATGCAAGCACACATGGATTCGAGATTTAAACTCTATGGATAGAGGTCATTTGGTACGCGGACTAATTTATTTCGGGATTATAATCGCAGGATTATAATCCCTACACTAATTTATCCCACTTGAAAAGTGGGATAAAATAATACCAAGTTTAATGAGATAAGATGAGATAAAATGAATATTCAGGATTAAGTCTTTGATTAACGATATAAATTTATTCCGGGATAAATTTATACAGTCAATCAAACATGGTATAAATTTAGTACCACCTTATCCCGTACACTAAACGACCCCTATGGGTTCAATATCTGAGTATTTTAACATTGAACATGTTATAAGTTATAAATTAATAGCTACTATTTATTATAATATTAATGAATTTTTACACATAAATTATGATCCGCATCAAAAGCATTGTACTAGGTTCAAATAAACCCGATACGATAAGGCTAGATACGCCCTATGCATGCATGTGCTGGAAATGATCTTTTTGTTGAAGAAAAGAAATGAAAGGAAAAGAAAAGAGTAGAAAGCCTAGAATAGGAATAGGAGCAGGCTTAGGGAAGAGATGAGTGGGTTTGGAGTTAGGAGGAAAAATAAATTGGCAAACATCATGTTGTCCATAACTCTTGTGCTAACAAATAGTACTAATTTAATAGCAATCATATTAATACGCTGAAATCTCGGAATGGCCAAGGATTCTTTTTGACTTTCTCCGCTTCACAAATCATGGCACACATAACGTTAGTTTGGTGCCGAATCCACCAATGCCCATACTTCATCGCTATAAGGAAAAACCAAAAGAAAACAACACACACTTAACAATTATAGGAAGATTCACTATTAACTAATCACCAACAACATATACATATCGAATTTAAAATACTGAAATGTTTATTTTAGGTATTCAAACTTAACAATTATAGAATGAGGTCTCTTATCGTGCAACCATTGTTGAAGTAGGGAAAATAACTTATATAGTTATAGTAAAGCTGTTCTAACTATCTGATAGAGCGAAGTTAGATAACACACAATAATTCATAAATTAATCTTTAGGGGGCTGGATTGCCTAGCTTTTGCTCCAACCAAATTGAAAAAAAAAAAAAGTCCTTGAGTCAGATAATTCTCCTTTTGGTCAAAAAAACGTTCAAACTCTGTGACATTTTGGCAAAAGAAATTAATGAGGTTCATCGTTCAGGTAACAAGCCAGTATTTCTTTTCTAGAAGAGTCAATACATCTCATTGAACCAGGGGTGGCTCGAGGGGAGGCTAGTAAAGCTTTTGCTTTAGGCCCCCTAAATATTGGGGTCCCAAAAATATTTTTAGTCGTGGATTTACTATCTTATTGTTGTTTAAACAATATTGAAGTTTATAGAAAAAAGAAAACAAAAATACTAAATCCTTATAAAGAAAGACTATCTATTTTTTAACAAATAGAAAAATATTTAGAACTTTGAATTAAGATACTCAAATCTTCATATTGATAAATAACATTATTTTACAATAAGATCAAACGTAACCAATTGTAAATACGTGGCTAACATCTTATTAACTTAAATTTTCTTATCAATGTGAATATTAATATTATATTTTATAAGATAACTATACTATAGACAAAAAGAAAGAAAGAAAAAAAGGAACCAATGCAATATTACATACTATATTTTACAAGATAACTATACTATAGATAAAAAAAAAAAAATCAAGGCCCTTAATTAAAGTTTGGTTTTAGGCCACGGATTTTATTGAGACGTCTTTGCGTTGAACTAATATTACATAATTTATAGCTGCATAACTTACAACTTTTAGATAATAATCTAAAAATAAGAGTACCATTCTCAATGAAATTTTAGACCACGGAAAAAGAGACATATATAACTCATAAGCATTAATAGAAATGAATTTTTTTTGTTTCGACGAAGCCTTTTGAGTTTTGAATATTCAACTCACTACTGGGGTTCACTGCCTACGGGCGTGGCATCCTCAACCTCCACTACTCATTCCTTATGGGGTTGTTTGGTTGGATCAATAAATAATAAGTTGTACTTATGATTTGTTTGGTGAATGATATTAAAATAAGATATGCAATGTACAACTTAAAGTATGTCTTTGATTTTAAATTAAATAAATTTAAGTTTTAATTTTAATCTTAAGAACGAATGCAGATAAGACTATTGGCTGAAGAGCAATCGTACCATTTTACTAGTCTTATTCTTATCAATTAATTAATCCTTGAATTGTTATCTTTCTTCTACCATTGAATGTTGTATAAAATTATATCAAAATTCCAATATAAAATTACTGTTAATACTTTTAAATAAGTAAACGAACCCTAGGCTCCCTAATTTTATTGGTTACATATGCAGTGTCAGACTAAGGATTTTGTGCAAGCGGGTTCAATCTTAAAAGTACATAATTTTAGTCGTAAAATGATAGTTGTCAAGTGGGTTCAAATAAAATATTTATACAAAATTTACACAGTTTTAATCCTAATTTATACATATATACAGTATTATTTTTTGGTGAAGCGAGTTCAACTGAACCCGCTAGCCACCACGTGGGTCCGCCATTGTACATAAGTCTTAAGGGGTCATTTGGTGCAAGGGATAAAGATAATAATCCAAGGATAAAATTTAAAATAGTATTCATCTCATATTTGATTATAGATATTAGCTAATTTCGGGATAAATTTTACATTAAAATGTTGGAATAAATTATCCCATATAAACATGGGATATGTAATCCTATTAAGAATCCTGATTTATCCCACTATTGTACCAAACCATCCCTGAGAGAATCTCGACACAACTTCTCTTTTAGCTAATGGTTGTTGCGTTTAACCCAAAAATAGATTTCTCGATCAAAGTCAATATCTAGAAGAAATCGGGTTACTGATAACCAAGATTTACTTCACTTTCCCAATAATTTAAAGAATAAATCAAGGAATGGAAATAATTGACAAAAAAAATATGAAACAGATTAATAATCACTCCCAAAATTACAGTTAGAACCTTGAGAATAAAGTAAAGAATGATTACATAAATTTCAATAATTATCTAATATCATTACAAATGAGGTTTCAGTCCTTATATAGGAGCATACAATTATAACGATTCCCTTACTTAATTCGGGCTCACTAATGATATTAATTGCCTTGATTGTCCGTTACCATATACAATTGTAACGGAAATATTTATGGCTAAAGATTTCTTGTAACCGTATTGATTTCTCTTCTTTATTTATGACAGGATCGTATATCTTTCCTTTTTGACAGCCTTTATTCATTTCGTTCCCGTTTTCCCTTTTACAGCTGTCAGGTCCGGCTCTTTTCTCAGTGTAACCCCGTAGGTATTCTTACCGTGCCTTTTCCGCATTCTTTAACTCATCTAATTAAGACCCTTACTTGTCATTTTATTGATAGTCCACATACCATGCCCTGTCACCTCGTTAATAGTCCACGTGTCATGCCTTTTTTTCACTAATACATGTTGTCACTTTGAAATTTTAAGACGAATCTAGTGGGTAAGATAGGAGTTCGGCCGAACCTAGTATTTCATATGTCCCAATTTATACGGCGGAGTCGAATTTCAAAAGTCAAATGCATATTAAGTAATAATAGTTACCAATTCAAAATATATAAAATGCATATGAAAAAATTGGGATTAAAAAAAACTTATTTTAACTCTCGAAAAAAACTCATTGTACTTCGCCATTAAACCATGGTCAGAGCAGAAGCTTCCCCGGTAATTGTTGAAGTGATAAAGGAAAGTGTTAGAGGGTACTTGTTTGTTTGAAGTTTGAAATCTTGTTCGTCGTTTCATCTATTCTACATTATAGTACTACTCATTCTAGACGCCGCAGCAGCCTTTGGTGAGAGTCTTTCCCTGACCATTTTCCTCATTGACTCCTCTTTCCTAAATATCCCTTCCACTGTCATTTTCCTAAAGAATCTACACACTTTCTTCTATTTCCTAATTCTGCCGTTTGTCTCCTTCTTAAGACCAAACTTTTATCTTCTTCAATCTTCACACCTCAAGTAATAGGTCGTAGCATCTCTAGTCCCAGCTCCCATTTTATATGCCAACTACAGCTAAATCTTCCATCATCTTTTCCCTTTCTACTGTGTTCTTTCACAACTTTTTCCTACTTAGTTTTCATTCTCAGAAAGTTTATAGACAATACGAGAAATTTCCTTTCTGGGTTTATTCTTAAAACCCAAAATTCTGCTTCATTTCTTATAACTCTGACACTTGGGTTTTATTTGCCTTGATAATATTTCTTTAGGTTTTAATTTCAGTTGTCAGATCCTAATTAAAACTTAATAATCTTCCATTATTCCTTTTTCGCCCTTTGTTGCTTGTAGCAGCACCGGCGAAAAATCCCAGTTTGTTCTTGTTTCTGGTTCTTAAAATAGTTGTCTGAAAATGGAAGATGCTTCACACACCCCTGGTAAAATAGACGAGTCAGGTATGTTTGAGCTCACTGGAAAGATAATGGTGGTAGCTATTGTACTTATCTTACTTGTGATAGTCTTCGTTTTCTTATTCCACCTTTACTCAAAATGGTTCTGGAACCGCCGCCGTCAAGTAGACGGTGGCAACCCTAACGCCAGCACACGGCGGCGGCGCGGCTTCAACTTTTCTTCGGCCAGTCATCATCAAGAAGTGAATAATGTTACATCCGCTCTCCGCCGGGGCCTGGACCCCACACTCCTAAAAACTATTCCCGTAGTTTTATTCAATCCTAAAGAATTCAAAGATGGATTAGAATGTGCTGTTTGTCTTTGTGATGTATCTGAAGGTGAAAAGGCAAGACTTTTACCTAAATGTAATCATGGATTTCATGTGGATTGTATTGATATGTGGTTTCAATCTCATTCCACTTGCCCTCTTTGTAGAAATCCTGTTTCCAATATATCTTCTGATGATCAGAATCCCACCTCTGCTGTGGAAGAAGAGAATTCAGTTTCTATAGAGGTGGCAAATTTCCCAACTAATATCTTGTTTTGGGGAAATGAGACTCAAGTGAGCAGTTTGGAGGACTCTTTACAAGGTCCTAATTCTTCTTCTTCTCACGCGCCTTGTCCTCCACCACCACCACCACCATCATCATTGTCGTCGTCATTTGCCTCTACGAGTGATAGGCGTTGTGTAGCATTGGTAATTGATATTCCTAACCAGACAAATGAAGCAGAAGATGAACAGAAATCTCCAATAATGTCCACAAGATTGAGGTCTTTGAAAAGGCTCTTGAGTAGGGATAGAAGGGTTAATCCTTCTAGTCCCGGAATTGTGGATGTAGAACAAGGAGGCAGAGGCCAGAGCTAGTAAGAATTCATATTTTTCGATCGGTAGTTTCTGGTGCTTGCTATAGAATGGTATCTCCAGAACTCTCATTCACTTGTTCAAAGTTTTTGATTCTTGATGCAGATGTAAAGGTTGAAACATTCATCTGCATATAGGCAGGGAATATATTGTATATGTGTAAACAATGCAGTGGGCTTCTCTGTTTGAGAATGGAGCAATCTTTCTCTTACAGAAGAGTATTTTCAGTTATTTCGATGACTGTTAGTTTTCTTATATTTTCTGGCTGCTACAATGATATGATCACAGTTTCAGCTTTCTTTCTTCATATGAATTTTGTCTGTTTCAGCAATCACTTCTAAATTTATGCTGTGGAAAGTTATAACTGAAGGCTTATAGTTGTGGACACCCAAATCTAAGATCACACCGTATTTGGCCTAAAAGTACATGGATTATTTGGTTTAAGAAATGAACCTTGAGCTTAACTCAATCTCTAAGCTGGCTCACGAGGTGAGGATTGTCCATTGAAGCTAGCTCACGAGGTGAGGATTGTCCATTGAGTCCAAAATAATATAAAGAGGCAAATAATCCATCCCACTCCGATGTGAGAATCTAACAATTAGGTTGTCTTGTTTGTCTTTGTGAAGTCTGTAAGGGTGAAAAGGCAAGCCTTTTGCCAAAAGAGAATCTAACAAATAAAATGTGTTGTTTGTCTTTGCGTAGTCTTTGAAGGTGAATAAGGCAAGTGCTTTGCCACAAGAAAAGAAAAATTATCCTGACTATTTGGTGAGGATTGGCGCATGACTATTTTATGGGAAATTAGATTTTCTCTTCTAAACTTGCATTTTACCAAATTTTATTGTAACCACAACAGCTTGCCAGGGTATTTTTTCAATCATTGAACAAAAGTATCCTTCAATACTTCTACATAGTTTAGGTTCAAATATTCAACGTAGTGGTACATACACACTGCACATTTTTTTTTTTGTGTGTGTATTACACTAGTGTTTTGGGATGCTAATTCACATTCTCACGTTTAAACAAGTATTAGGAAGACTGATCAACCTCCAAAGGGAAAAAGAAAAAAAAAAGCACTAATACAGAATAGATTTTTAAGGGAAGTACGTAGATTAGTAGATTGCATTCCTGAACAAGCTCGATAACCATAACTCCTACCGCCGAAAAAAAGTACCAAAGAAAAAGACTATTTTCCAAACAGTAGAGGTAAAAATAAGGAAAACAAACACCATTTGCAACTCTGTGCCCTTCACTACGTATTACAACACAGAATTTCATATTAGACGTGACAAGACACTACTAAACTAGAAAAGGAAAACACATCAGCTAGACTTTAGAGATCAGTTTGATCTTCACTAGGGCCATGCCTATACATTCCTGATAGGTATATGAAAAACCTAGAACATTTTGCACTAATCAGTAGTAACCCAGATAAGGAATACACAACCACAGATTTCTGGATGCTTTGTTCTACAGCGTAACACAATAATATGTTTCCTGCCTAATGGAAATCAATCACCATCAAAGCTGAAGTAGAGGCAGAGCCATTACAACGCCAAAAATTGATACTAGCAATAGCAATAACCAAGTTGGGCAAGATTTCCTCTGTTGGTTTTTCATGTCTTTATGGGGTTCTACTTTATTCAGACCATCCAACAAGGGTGTAGAATTTTCTGCTTGTGTTGGCATGGTTGACACCTGCTCCTGAACAGGATGCACCAGGAGCTGCTGCTCTTCATACTTCTCCACATATTCTGGAAACAATTTTCTAAAGGTTGGGCTGTCATAAAAATAATTAGTAAGTTAACTGGGATCAAATAAAAGGCGCAGTGAAAACAATTCACAATATTATGAAAATAGTAGATCAATTTCTCATGAAACAGATCTTGTACTGTGGGAACTATACAGCTTAAGGCGATTATCTGAAACATTTACAAGGTATGCAGCATCGGGCTTGCAGTTGACTCACTTTTTACAATTGAAAGCAAGTGAAGCCTTAGCAAGCTTCTGTTTCTCAGCAACTGTTGTTGTTACACTGCCTGTGGTAGGACTGTTGTCCATCTGTATGAAATGCATGGGTAGACATAAAAGTTACCATTAATGCAAACGAATGCTTCACAAAGCAAAAAGAGATTGTAAACAAAGGAATTATGGAAGATTATTTCATGGATTTAGTCGTCTATGGTTTTCAAGATAGCACCAACATGCATTGTGGATAATGCAGGCGTCGAATATGGAAATTTCCACAAAAAGGGACAGAGACAGAAGAATGTAAAACTGTCATGAAAATGAACATGAACTAAAAGAAAGAGCACAACCCAGAAAACAATAAGTGATGAGACGGAATGCAGATCCTTTGTATGACTTGCAGGAACTTTACCATAAATGAGAGCAGTCCCGTGAGTATGCTGCATGGGAAATAGAGGAAATCAGTTCAAATGAAAAAAAGGAATTATGCAGCCAACATAAGAACTGTAAGCACGTTCATCTTTGTAGAACAATTAAGAGGACATGCCTTCGCTGTTTTGTTCTGAAAAGTAATCAGAAAATTTTTTGGATCATATTTTAATTATAAAAAATAATAACAAAAAAGTAGAAACAAGTCTGGTAAGCAAATAAAGTTCTTCCAACAAATTTTACTGAATAGTAGCCCCAAGGGCTTTGGTCTAGTGGTAAGAGTGCAGCGCGTAACATGTGATCACGGGTTCGAACCCTGCCGTAGACAAAAGTCTAGTATTTAAGTGGAGAAGGGTACAAAGGTGGGCCATTATCCACCGAATTTCAAACATTGCGCCACTGGCCCTCGGAATCTCTCGGTTATCAAAAAAAGGAATTGACTGAAAGCAGAGCTATGGAGGAAGAAAACAATGGGAAACGGTGGGGGTGAAGGGGATGCCTAGGTTGAGGCTTTGTATGGGTAGAAGTGAGGCGAGAATTGCGGTGAAAAGAGAGAAGTGGTTCTGAAAAGCAAATGTTTCATTTCTTATCTTTAATTTGTTTTTATTCCTTTAACGCTGAATTCCAAAGGTTTTACAAGTTATACACCTCTTTCTAATAAGTAGGAAGAGGTGAAACACATTTTTTAATTATAAAACAGGTTTTATTCAATTCAAAAAATGTCCCTTATTCTCATATTTTCAGAAAAAATTAAAGTTCTTGTACCATATAGGCCCTAAAGCAACTATTTCCAGACAAATCACCATATTTTATCTTTATAAGTATATTGTAATTTATTACCTTGACACAGACCACATAGGGTTCCAACTCTCTGGGTGAACTGTGAAGCAATAAATATGCCAATTGAAGGTCAGGAACATGGAATCCTCTCGAAGCAACAAGCAATTGTAACTAGAATGCAACTCCAAAAACACTTACAGTCACTCATAGATAAACAGAGTTTCTTTTGCGTCATAAATCTTCCATTTGGAGTAACCATGCTACAGACGAAGCAAACATAGTTGAGGTGATTCCAAAAAAAAAAAAAAAAAAAATACAAAAAGGAAAGCCTTATAGAGATACATTGCTAAAAGAGAAACAAGTCCGGGAATATCAAACTGATCTGAGCTTAGATTACCTGATTCCTGGAGGTTTAAATGGATATTCTGGAGGAAACTTAATCTTCCCATAATAATATCCACCTTATTATTGGAGTTGGCGGCATTTCACAAGCAACAACCACAAGAGCAAGAATAACTCAGAGAAAAATGAGAAAAGTATTCGGAGGTGACAAAAAGATAGTGAAAACGGGGTCTAGGAAGAAGACCGCATCACCTAACAGTGTTAGTTCATTGCACAATAAATACCAAAGTTAGAGAAAGTAGAAACCTGCAAAGGGTGTTCCTTCACTCCCCTCCAACACGTAATCTGGACATGAGATTTATGTAAAAGTAGGAATATTAGGAAAAACAGGTAATGAGTTATCTGATGAAAAGAATCTAAAAGAAGATCATTACTGGCAAATAAGCCTATTAGCCTAGTAAAACAATATGTATTAGAAGAAGAGCATCAGATTACATGCCAATTTCATTCCTAATCAGATTGCATTATCGACAGTGCATTTAGGTGATTCAAGCCAAGTTCATTCCTTATTAGACTGCATAACCAACAGTGTGTTTAGATGCATGGCACGCAAAGAAGAAGAAACAAATATTCATACAGAGGAGGTATCAAGAGGAAAAAGAATAAAACAAAGCTTACTTATAATAAAAAGGAACTACNAACAAAGCTAACTTATAGAAAAAGGAACTAGACAAAGTTCATACAATTCTAAAGGTTTAACCGAGTATATTGAGAAATACAGGTATAGAGAACAAGAAGTAGGGACTTACGCCACTCAAGAATATCATTTGGAGAAGGGCGGGCCACAACATGGGAGACAGGTTCCTGCAATATAACAAGCTTCATCAGTTTCGGAGGAATCAGAGCACAGTAGAAAATGTCCAAACACAGCAAAGAAGAGACCAGTTGACAAAGCCATAGGAGATGCCATCCAGTATCAAGTCAATGAAATAAAACTTAGCTCTTAGTTGTGACAGAAATTAAGATACAAGTGTCAAACTTTCACATCTGGCAAGTGGCAATGGGGAGGAGAAAAGCGAACTTCAACTAAGTTAACAAATGCTAATGACAAATTTAGAGTGGTAATGTCATGAGGGGTAAGAAGATGAAAGTCACAAGTAGGGTTCATAACATGTAAGATCCAATGTGGTTGACCAACGCTTTAAGTAGCGAGACTGTCTTCCTCATTCATGGGAGAGTAAAGGAAGTTGTTTGGTAATGCAACAAATTTATGTATAATATATTCCCAGCAGCAAAAAGGTTACATACTTTACAAAGTGCTCTATATTCCTTCTGGAGCCGCTTTACACATGCCTTTTCTGCCATATCTAAGCTTCAAAATGGAAGAAAACTACGAGATGATCCTTGGAAGCTTCACTTATTCTCTTGACTGCAAAGAAATGCCACCACCTGTAAACATAAGAAATTAAATAAGCAATTTTAATTTAAGGAAACCCCAAAGTAAGAAGGGTGTTAGTATATGAGACTTGAAGAAAACTTGAGTCGATAGCAATCAATGCAGACTGCAGACCATAAAGAAAGATGGTAAAGCCATTAGCTATGTGAATTCCATTTCTTAATTTTCTTATCCCCTCCAGCTAAGCATGGCCATCAATTCCACAAGAACAAAGGCTTAGAAACAGTGGTGAAACGAGGAATTGAAGGGATCCTATGAACCACAAGGAATCCTATATGTGAAAAAAGGACCCTAATAACTCTAATATTAAGCTAGCTAGGGTTCCTAATCTAGCCACTCAATAAACTAACTTAAACAAAAAGGGAAATTCATAGACTAATTAAAAGGAAAGTAATAATCTTCAAAGAAGTCATAAAATAAGAAGGAAACAAATATAAAGTACCTGAAAACTGTTAACCAAAATACTAATAAGATTGGGATTCACTCCAATATGAACAGTGTTTTCTTTTGCCTCTATTCCTGCTCAGTTGGAATTGACTTTGCCTCACCAAGCCCTCGTGTTAAGGCATGATCTTTTATTCCAACCTTCCATTTTTTGAAAATCGATTTTGATTCTTCTTAGACTTTCGTAAAGCAACACAATTTTACGTGATTAAATCAAACAATAAGCTGTTTATGGCTGAATACTAAATCAAGACCCTATGGAAGGAGCGTGGCATATCGCCATAGTCATGTCAAATCAATAAATAGAAGCTGTTCTGGGGATTGGGCCTCTTTGGAGATGGCTGATCACCCCTAGGCTGAAGGTGCTGGTGTCCATCCTTTGTACTCATACATCTATTGCATATGAACAGGTACAAAGCCAAGAAAAGTACAATCTATTACCACACATGAAATTTTAGTGAACCTAAGTCTTTCAAGCTACCTTGAGAACCACATTATCTAGTTGTTCAGTGTTCACAATATTTTATACTGCTTGTTCAAGAGCCTGACTTGCTTCACATGATTGTCTCTAAATGGGGCATGTCTCACTCAAGACAACTTAATCAAGAGGAACATCACACTAGTTAACAAATGCTACAGGTGCCAACAACAGTCAGAAAGTGTAAACCACCTATTCCTCCACTGCTCAGTTGCAAAAGAAACTTGGAACTTCTTCTACACTACCTTTGGTCTGAAATGGGTTATGCCACAATCAATAAAGCAAGCTTTCGAAAGTTGGTATTTCTGGAGAGTTGACAAATACATCAGAAAAATCTGGAAAATGGTGCCAGCTGCAATTTTTTGGTGTGTTTGGAAAGAAAGGAACCGAAGGTGTTTTGATGGCATTTCAACTCCACTCTACTCCCTCAAGGTTGCGTGTTTAGTTAACTTATTTAGCTGGAACTATCTTATTACCCCAGTTAATAGTGCTGATATTTTTGTGGATTTCATTAGCTCCCTGATAGTAGCACAGGCTTTTGTAATGGAGCTAATTATCCTATCTCTTTTGTACTCTTTGCATCTTTAATGAATCTAATTTACTTCATAAAAAAAAGAGCCTGACGAATAAATTTTATAAAAGCAAAAAGAGAAAACAGCTAAGGTACAAGAGTAAAAAGACTGCTATATATTCTCTAGATCCCAATTGAACCACAAACCAGATATAGAATCATCCACTATACTATGGCAAAAGAAATATCAATGTGCTTTTACTCTGTCTGCTTCAGAATCATTTGCCAGCCCGTTCCCCCTCATGGATATCATAGCAAAGAAAGGTTAAAGCTTTGCGTGCTAGCAAACACAATAAATAATCAGACTCACAAGTACAACCTAATTCTGTTCTCTCCGACCTCCGTAATTCACCATTGCTAACAGTCTGATTTTGCTTTCCTTAACCACCTAAAAAGATATTTTTTCTAACTTGTACGCGTATATATTATAAATACTTTTAAGCTTATGTTGCATATTCAAGTTTCAAACAAGCCCAATTCTCAGCAATCACATATTCACATCCGATGGACCAAACAAACTCCAATATAGTCCACATAAATCCAAAATTATGCAGACTTCATAGCACAGGACAAAATTCAACAAATTAGATTGCAAAATAACCCGCAATTAAAGCATAATACGTAATTAAAGTACATTATTCTCACCGCAGCAATACAAGATGTCGAATTAATAGACTAGCGACGGGACAACAAAAACCAATTTTCCGAAACACACTCGTCGACAAACAAAGAAAATCAATTCGTATAGTAGTAAAAACAAAAAAAAAATGATGAATTGAGGATATAATTAGATAGTCGAAATGAAGAAAAGCAATGACACGTGAACGTATAAATAGAGAAAAATGAGGAGAAGAGATTACCGAAGATCGAGCAAGAAATGGAACGCAAGAAGAGAATTAATCTCAAATCTGACGTGCTTGATCTGTAGTGAGGAGTGGCCCAGTTCAAAAATAAGTTAGCTTTGACCCCTCTTTCTAATGAAATTCGCAGGACTTGTCTGACTCTTTTCCTTTTGCAGCCGACTCTCCTTTTGTTGGGATGAACGTTTAATTCAATAATAATAGTAACAAGTACTATCCGGAGCTGACTTTTTCCTATTTGGGGAAAAGGTACAATTTGGCTTTTAAACTGTATTTCGTGTTTGCTTAATTTTGTCATTTATTAATATAAAAATTAAGGACACATTGAGTCCAAAAAAGCCACATTTTGGTTCCGGATTTTGTTTCAGAGTCCGGAACCAAAATGTGACTTTTTTGCACTCAAAGCACAAAAATAGGTTGAAAAAACAACTGATGACCATTTTATGTATAGCGCATGAATTGTATACGCTATACCTTAACGGCGTCCGTTAAGGTATAGCGCATGCAATCCATGTGTTATACCTGATTTTCAAATATCGGTCAAAGTACAGGTATAGCGCATATACAGGATGCGCTATACCTGAAGTTGAAAAGACAGGTAGGTATAGCGCATCGCATATATGCGCTATACCTATATTAAAAAATGCTCAGTCTTTTTCCTCGCGGACAGAAACAAAAAAACGGTCCTCCCTTTTCTTAAAGCTTAAAGCTCCATTGGAGCCCACCCGTCCCCCCAAAAATCGTGTCCCCTCATTATTTTAGCGAGCTAACACCCGATCCAAGACGTTGTCGTGTAGTGGATCTATTTTATTGCTAGTTTCGGTGGTCAAATATTCAATTTTTCTCAATTCAAAAAATTCTAAAATGAGGTATTGCGAATCACTTTTATAGTAAAACTCATGTATATAATTATCTAATTACTTGTTTTTACTGTGTTGTATACTTTTTGTGACCGTTTTTTAATATATTTAATTTTTTATTCGGATTAGTTTATTTATGTGCAAAAATCATGAAAATTGTATATTGTTCCTTTGTTGAATAATTAGTGTTATATGTGACTTTATTGTTGTCTAGTGCCCTTTAGTGTTATGTTGTGCCTTTTATTGTTATATAGTGCCCTTTAGCCTAGTAAAACTGATAATAAATTTTAGTTTATGTTAGTTGATGTTGTTTATGGCCATTTAGAGTAGTGTGACTTTATTGCCCTTTAGGATTCTTTAGTACTCCCTCGTCTCATATTATCTGTCATGATTCTCTTGTATACGTCTCTTAAGAAAAATTAATTAGGATAGGATTTTGACTACTTTACCCTTATTCATGTCTTAATATTTAATCTTTCTTCATTGGTATTTGAACAAAGTTAGGTGTTGTAGTATCCAAGGATAATTATTACTAAGGGTAAAAAAGAAAAAAGATAATCAATTTTGTCTTGAACTTTTAAATTGACAAATAATTTGAGACAACTATTTTTAGTAACCACGACTGATAATATGAGACGGGGGAAATATAAAATAAAAACTATGTGCCCTCATTAACTAACCTGACTAGAGTACTCAATTATGGATCAAATGTTAATCAATTATTAAGTGTTTATTAAATGTATTACTAGATAACAATCAAATATTAGATATGAATCATAAAATAATTAGTTGACAGTACAAAAGATGCACTGCCAGATTTTTGGGTAAAATATAAAAGTTAATAAACAAATCGTTGCAAATGAAATAAATTGAATATTATTTAGTATTAAGTTTGTAGTATTTTTATATGAATAATTATTAAATATATCTTGATTAGTTATGAAAATTAAATATTTAATTCTCTTATAACCTAAAAAATCTGAAAAGAAGATGACAGTTCAAACAAAATCCTGCCGTATTTTAGTCAAAAAATATAAGAAACTAACATATAAAATATTAATATAGAAAATTTATCAACCTAAGTATTTTTTATATGAATAATTATTAAATATATTTTGATTAGTTATGAAAATTAAATATTTAATTCTCTTATAACCCAAAAATATCTGGGGGAAAAATGACAGTTCAAACAAAACCCTGTCGAATTTTAGTCAAACAATATAAGAAACTAACATATAAATAATAATATATAAAATTTATCAACCTAAGTATTTTGTATATGAATAATTATAAAATATATTTTGATTAGTTATGAAAATTAAATATTTAATTCTCATAAAACCCAAAAATATCTGAAAAAAGAAGACAGTACAAACAAAACCCTACCGAATTTTAGTCAAAAAATATAAGAAACTAACATATAAAATATTAATATAGAAAATTTATCCACATACGTAATAATATAGAAACTTTATCGATTAAATATTAATATAAAAAATATCGCAATATATTTAAAGATGTTAAACGATTAAAGAGAAAAATATTTTAATTAATATTGTTTAATTTACAGACATCGTCATGGAGCTTCCCTCTGTGCATCTTGGACCTGTTGTTCGAGAGCTACTGTTGCTCTAAGGTGGCCATAGGTCTTCACATATCTGGGATGGACAGTGTCTGTCTCAGATCTTCCACCCTAGACGTATAGACGATCTTTGGGAGTTCATTAGGGACCACCCGCTTCATCCCCGTACAGTTAGACACCTTGAGCGGACAGGGTTTTGCCAGATTATAGAGATCGGTCGGTTGCAGTTCGACTGGCCCCTGATAACGGCTATGATAGAGCGGTGGCCACCAGAGACACACACATTTCATCTACCTATCGGCGAGGCTACCATCACGCTAGAGGACGTGGAGGTTCTATTCGGGTTGCCCGTTGATGGTATGACTGTCAGCTACCCGCATGCTCTTAGGGACTATACGGGAGAGGACTATCTATATATGTTGCATTGGCTCACCGGTTTCCAGCCTGCAGAGCCAACTGCTTTGAGTGGTGCCAGTCGATTGCAATTGTCGCCCGTTAGGCAGTATCTGGTGGCGCTGCACGTGGAGATTACTGACGAATCACCGCCAGAGGCTATCGACCGGCAGACGAGGTTATTGCTGCTGATGATGTTTGGTGGTATTCTGTTCCCGAACACTTCGAGAAACCTAGTTAGCTTGCGATTTCTGCATTATCTGGAGCGGCTAGATGAGTTATCTACTTACAGCTAGGGTGGAGTTGTTCTAGCCTACCTTTATAGGCACTTGTGCAGGTCGTCCATGTGCACCATGAGAAACGTCACCGGTTTTATTCCGCTGTTGTAGGTGATAAAATTATCAATTCTTTTCATTATTATAACAGAGATAGTAAAAAATGACTTAAATTTTACGTCCCCAATCAATATTAGGTTTGGGCCTGGGAGCGGTTCCTGCAGATCCAGCCACCTCTCCCACCGATAGCTTCAAATGCACCACCTCTACCGTTTCCACCACTTGCTGAGAGGTGGGTAGATAAGCGAGGCCATGCCCGCGAGGTCGAGGCTCGGCATCATCTCCCTTATTATAGGGATCTGTTGGATTTACTTGGAGACGCTCATGTACATATATGACTAAGTTTGTTTGATAATGTTTGATGCGTCTTGTGTTTACTCACGATTTTTGTGTTTAATAAATAGTTCATATGGTGCCCATACAGCGACGAGCTTATAGCTGGATTGCCAGATTATTGCTCCCGCGGTCGAGCTATGTGGATGTCTTTAGTCCCACTTATATGTCTCGATATAGTCAAGCATCATTCCACCGAGCGAGTCCTTTGACGTTTTGGTCGACACCAGCTTATACCTATTCCGCACACTTGGCATTTCCCACATTACCAGCGGGATGATCGTTGCAAGGTCGACCAGACATACTTGGCGTGTCTAGAGGCCCCGATAGAGGATTGGGATCAGAGATATGGCCTGATTCTGCCATACCCTCCACATGACCATTTGGACGGGGAGCATGAGTACATGGGTTGGTATCGCAGTGTTACTCACCTTCTGATTGGGAATCCCGTTCATCGCGCTAGTGGTCGGTACGTTCCATACGCCGGGAGGCATGGGGCACTAGTATGTTTTTTGATATACTTATTTATCATAATACATTACTTTACAATCCTTCCTTAATTAATATGTTATATATTATGCAGGCTATTGTCTTACACTGGTTCTACCAGTTGGGATTGGAGATGCTACAACATGCAGGCGACAGAGCGATAGTTGTGCACGGGTTTGGTCGTCGAGTTGCTGATATTGCTACTGACACATTAAGACGTGCCCAAGAGGATGCGCGGTTAGGTTACGAGGCTGCATATGTGCCGCCTAAGGAGTACCATCATGGGCCACACGTGGCCCCAGAACGTGGTAGATGTGAAAGGCATGGCCAGAGAGGAAAGGGTGGCCCACGTGGTCGTGGTGGTCGACGAGGACGGGGTCCCCAGCAAGGGGGAATTAAGGCACCCGTGAAGGGTATTGGAGATGATCAATCAAGTGACTACCCTGAGCCATACGATGCTCGTCATAATATGCCGTCATTCAGCTTCAGCTATCACCAGGGACTTCACAATTGACCCCGTCAGCTCCAGTGTTGATTGCGGGCACCGCCATTATGCAGTATGATTGGGATCAGTATTTTCCTGATCGTTTAGAGCCATGGAGGGTTATTGAGGATCGTCCGATACGAGAGGTGCATAGTGGGCGACAACTGAGTTATGGCTTATTATCGAGGGATGCTGAGGATCTTTCAGGCACAGATAGGGAGACATCACAATAGGTCGAGACGTCACATCCTTCATCTACTCCAGTGCACTTCGGAGAGTTCCCACGGAGCATTGTGTGGCTACTCAGGCGCGTGTTTGTTTGTATTACTATTACTTCAATTTATTTTTACCTTATAGATTAGTCAGTAATATCTAAAATTTTTATATTTTTTTTAAAGATTTTGTCATCACCCATCATGGAGGCCACATTGTGCAATACTCGCTTGTCGGAGACGGATGATCTTATTTAGGAGCCCGATGAGACCATGGTTTGACCATTAAAAGTTTTTGCTAACACGTACGTTAGTATTCTATATTTCATATACTAAAATATCTTATTATTTTGTAGGTTACTAATAGCCCAACGACCGCTTCTACTGAGCCTACTAGTCTTATTGACGATCATGCTGCAGCGCATCCTCCGATAAAGAGTTGACGTGATGAGGATGATCCTGATAGCATAGCCGGGCGGGATGGTATGCGCCTCAGGCCATCCAA